CCCCTTTTTCAGTCCTCCCCTGCCACCTCTGTGGGGCTGGGTGGACAAGCCATATTCAGTCTTGCCTGTGCCTCTGAAACCACCACACCTTGGTGGACTGACTCAGGCTCTTCTGGCCACTGGCTGTTCCTGAGGATGTTATATGAGGCAGTGTGAGCCCATGTGGATCCCCTGGCGCTTTCTGTGGCAGCAGCAAGACCTTGAACTTCAGGGGGTTTGGCGTGAGTTTGAGCATCTCAGGGACAGGGCTTTGACCTAGTGGATGCACATACGAATGCAGAGCATTGCAAAGAACAGGACTAGGCTGGGCACTGCAGGACTGGGGATGGGGAGGAAGTAGGGTACAGTGGAACAGAGCTATGAGTGAGGGGAGAGAGAGGCCTCTCAGAGGAAGCGGTCAGGAGTGAGCGAGCAAGACATGCTGTCAACATCAGCCCTTGGCTTTTAGAAACTGGGTTTTGGGGTTTGGGGCAGAAACAGAACTTGGGTTTCTGAGTGCTCCTGGAAATTTTGGTCTGTGAGTCATGCCCGTGTGGCTATCTTGTTTCCTTAGTGTGAGAATACCTCCCGAGCAAGGAACATGGCCTTGCAATGTTTCCTCTAGCAGCCTGTACTATTTCAAGGTACTTATTTCAAAGTACTTAGTTGGTAGACTTTTTGCCTGGTATGCACAGAGCACCCGCCAGTCCCCAGAACTCCAACTGGATGTGGTGGGTGGTTTGCCGGTACCCTACTGGACCCTAGCAGGAAGGATGGTGGAGAGGCAGGAGGATCAGGAATTTAAGGTCATCCTTGACAATACAGAGTTTGAGGACAGCCTGGACTGTGTGAGATCCTGGAGAAAGAGAAGAGAGAGAGAGAGAGAGAGAGAGAGAGAGAGAGAGAGAGAGACACTACCCACTAAACCACCTCACTGGCCCAGCACACACAGTATTTTGATTTCTTTTTGATGTTTATTTATTCATTCATTTGTTCATCTGTGTGTGAATATATGGGCAAGTGGGCATGCTCTCATGCAGGCTTGCTCAGAAGCTGGTTTTGCAGGACACTCTGCTTGCTCTGGGTGTGCTGGGATCTGAATTCTGGTCTCCATGACTGTACATTAGGTGCTCTTAACTGTTGGGTTAAGTCCCCAAAAGCCATTTTATGATTTTTTAAAGTGACTTTAATAGAGAGCCATGCCTGGAACAGGTGGAAAGATGAGAAAGAGTTCCACAGAATGTGTCTGGAGTGAACACTGGCTGGGGAAGAATAGCAAGGCCATTGCTGGATGCAAATGACAGTCAGTCACTCAGCAGTGATCAGTAGCTTTATTCGTAAACGCTTGCTTCCAAACTACAATGAATGCATCTAACAAAGCGAATCATGCAAACGAAGATTAGAGGTTACACAAATCCAAGAAAGCTATGCAGTAATTAACATATCCTTCTTACCTACTAAGTAACCAAATGAGCAGTGGCGCAGCCCCTACGGCTTATCAGTAACGGCCTATTCAGGCCGAAAACCTCAACCTTCACTCCTTCCTCCATGCCCATTTGGGATGCTCCACGGTGTTTTTCAATGAGAGATTTAAACATGGTATGTCCTTCATAAACCAAAATAGAAATCACACAGGAAGTGCATCTTCCAGTGCTACTCATCGCCTATAAAAGATAATCTGGAAAACCTTCATAGTCAGGATAGGAGGCCAGATGCTTAGAAAACCCTTAGGCTCAAAATAGTAACCACCTGCGTATATAATTTTCAATAGTCTACTAAACGTCCCAAAGAGAGAGTCACATTTTTCCCAGGCAAAATATTAACAAAAATCTACAAACGATGACAGAATAGTCTTAAAATGAAGCAGGAGACAAAAGACACAGTTGTTTAATCAGAAAGTGCAAAGCCACGCCTTTTGTTTTAGAAAAAGGGGTTCTTACAAAGTGGGGTGGGAAGCTGTTTTCTGAAAAGTGGGGTTCTGTCTACTCGCACACACGGAAATGGAAAACACTTGATGCTGCCTGCCTCTTACTTCCTAGGATAGTAGGTTTGACTTGCCCAATGGGCAAAATCCTTATAGGGCACCTCTCAACCTTTACCAAGTGTGAGAGGCTGACAACCAGAAGCTACTGGAGACAGGGTTGGAGAAGCACCCCCTTCTTGCTCACAGATTCTCAGAGAGCAAGGAGAGAGGTCCCCCAAATCCCCAAGAATGCTCTCCTGGGCTGCATCAGGAAGGGGGTGCTAGGAAACCATCTTCCTTACAGTTTAAAGATCTCTTAACCTTAGGCAGCTGTCTTTAGTGTCTACTAAAGAGGGGGTACCATCCTGCAGTCATTCCAATGTGGACTCCAGACCTCACTGGTTCAGGAAAACCATGCCATGGGATTGCAGGTCAAGGGTGCTCTATCCAATGTGGGTTAAGTCCCCCTATAGGCTCGATGGAATTGGAATTTTATGAAATTTTTATTAGGTTTATTTTAAAAAACTCATTTTAAAAGAATTGAGTCATTAAAGTTCTCTATAAAAAAGTACAAATAGCCCAGCACAGTCAGGTTCTTCTACTAGAGTTAATAAGTTAATTTCTTGTTTTAAGTTTTAAAAAAAGTCTTTGGAACTTGTGGGCTTCTGGGGAGGGTCACAGTAAGGCTGTTTAATGACTTAATGTGTCCAGTGTGTTTGCTGACTGACACCTGACCACATGAATGAGGGCACAGAACTCTGAGCCATACATGCTTTTAACCGTGGAGTCTTGAGACTGTCGTGTCACTGGGACAACAGTGGACACCATTGCTATAACACTGAATTTGTGCATGTCTTGAGCACCCTTTCCCGAGTTTCTGGATTATTTTAACGACACAAAGAAACAGCTTTCCGTACATTTGCTGCACTGGCCCAAATGAGACATGGCAGGAGTGTTGACCCTCCAGCATATTTTGTTAGCAGAAGTTCAAGGCAAACCATTTTTCAAACCTGTTTCCTAACACTGTGTCAAGTTAGTGTGGAGCCGCTGCTAACCATTGTCCTGTATCTCCCATGGTCAGCATGCATCTCCTGAACAGGGCTGCTGGGTATGCTCAGTCGTCAGGTGGGGGGAGGGCAGGCAGCCCTGCCCTTCTGGGGCTGTAGACAAATAGGAAACAAGTGTGACATGGACACAGGAGAAATAGGTGATTTCGTAAGACCAAGGTGAGGAAAGTGACTGTCAGGTTTTGTTACAGCCTTGCTGAGGTGAGTAAAGCATGCGACTCTCACTTTCCCTTCTCTTCCATTTTGAGAAAACAAAACCCTGCACAAACCCTTCCTATTTTTCCCACTAAGCAGGAGCTAGCAGGACATTGTTGTTTTTTGTTGTTATTTTATTTTGTTTTGTTTTTCAACTTCTGCACCTGCTGAAATTATCAGAGGGAAAGAGGTGGAGCCTAGTGGCTTCCAGAGTCTGCTGGCTGGCCTGACTCCGCCCAGAGCAAAGGACTTCTTACAGTTGGGAGGGTCTGAGAGGGCACAGACTGTGTCCCTGACAAAAAACACACACTTATGAAGACCAACAAAGGGTCACTTGCGTTTGCAACAATGCCAGTGGAAAGCCCATGTAGGCACCATAGCCTCTCTCCCACCTCCCATGTCTTCCCGGGTGCATGCAAGCCCTGCTCTTCCTCAGTGCTGTGACTTCAGCCTCCTCTGTGACACATGAATGGGTGGCTCTTTGGGGCTTGGCATGTCACCACACTCTGTTAAGAACTGCTGTTCCTGAGGGACAGCACTTGAGGGTTAATACTGGCCTCTGGTAATCTTTTATGTGACCATCCCAGGCCAAGCTTTCAGAAACCTCTTGGCTTCCTGAGTTTCTCAAATTACTAATAAAAAGACCAATGAAGAAAAGGCTCATACTAGGCCAGAGATTTGAGGGTGACGAAGGGCAGTCATTTTAGTTCCTGGGGCTTCTCATTTACCTTCTGAATTAGCTCTTGCTTGGAGGTGGGCCTCCCATTAGCTTCCCAGGGCTGTACCTGGCAGCATATTCCAGCTCTTTCCATTCAACCCAAGTGCCGGGGACTTTGGTTGCCCTGCCAAAAGCAGAGCTAGCAGCCCACTGGCCTGTGATGGAAGAAGGAAGAGCTACCACTGAGCAGTGGCCACCTTCCAGGGCAATATAATACAAAGCAATTTCAGTGGATTTTCTGGGTCACAGCCAGACAGATCCTGTGGACAGGACCTACCAGTGCAGGCAAAGTCTGAGAGCAGGTGCTTCCTGAAGAGCTCCCCCAGGGACTAAACCCTTCAAGGCACCCTCCTGATTCCAGCTGCCAACATGGTGGCTTCAGTTCAAAGAGCAGCCTTTTCCCTGGAGCCTTATTTCACACATGGCCTGAGAAGTGGGGCAGTGATGTAGAATTTTATTATTTGATCCTGCCTAACAGCTGTTAATGGCTATCCACATGAGTTAGTTTTGCAGCAATAACTGTCTCAGGCTGCCTAGGTCTTTAAAGTATTAGCCTTTATCTAAACTTAACACTCAGCAGCCTATAAAATATAGGCCGCATCATGTATACTTTCTTAAACTGTTAAGGTTTCTTCTAAGTTCATTGTCCAGTGTGCTGTTCCTTAGGCAAATGCTGGCTCTGTTATTGTTTTCCGTCCCTTTTGAGAACATTGTTTCACATTCTCTTAGCATAGGAGCTACCCAAGGGACTGCACATGTTTTCTTGAGAAGTTGAATCACTTGGAGCTGGATATTGGTTGTTTACAGGAAAACTCAAGCCTGTTACTTGCTGAAGACAAGCAGGCAGCTTGGCACCTTGGGACAGATCGTCTGTGACCATTGTGTTTCTTTTCTGTGGCTTCCCTCACCTTGAGAGGTTTGCTGAGAATCAGTCCTGTTGCTGTTCCACTTAGCAAAGGGCAACCCTTCCATTTCCAAGGCTCATAAACCAGTTGCTTTACTGTTGGGCCACGTACAGTGTTTTTGATTAGGTTGGTTGCCAAGGTGATGAGTTGGACTTCTAAGATCAATACATAAGAACGTTTTTGAGTTCTGAAGTCCAGAATTCATGAAAGATTTCAGAAGAAACTGCTCTTTTCTGCTTAGGCCCATTCCCTACTCCATTATTTCCTCCTGATAAGGGGTTTTCAGAACAGCCTGTGCTCCTTATCTCAAACACACTTGGTGGTTTGCAGGCAGACAGATGGAGAATACAAAGAGGAGAGCTTATCTGGGAGATGCTTTCAGGAGAGACACCTTCTATAAGGTGAGAACTTCCATTTCCACCAGTTCTTTCCGATGCAGAAGCCTGCCTCTTCTAAACACCATGCATCGGAAAGGTGTTTGGCCACAAGACATGCTCTTCAAAGACCAGAATGTTCTAGCAACAGCTTTATGACAGTGTGTGCCTCTGGAAAGAGTCTGTTGGTAACAGCCTCGGGGATGGCTCTATATAGGCATGGGGATAAAGTTTGACTTATAGAGGTTGTGTGTTCTGGAGTACACACTGGCTCATTCTGGGGCAAGAAGACAGACTATATACTTCTGGTATGTCCATATGAACATACAGAAAGGAATCCTCACACCCTTCCAACCCTGGAGTCCCCAAAAGACATAGGCTGAAAAGAATAAGACAGACAGACAGACAGACAGACAGACACACACACACACACACAGTTCAGCCCAGGTCCTATAACAATGCCACATGTATATAAACATATCAGGCATACTGGAATAAACGCTTCCAGCTGTCCCCAAGAGGAGGAGTGGTGGAGGAACCCAAACAGAGGATGACATGAAGAAGTTAACAGAGTCTCATCTCAAAAATAATTCCCACAAACAAAACTGGGGTTTGCAGGTAGAATCAAGTATATATATATACATATATACACATATATAGTAAAAGCCTAGTTAAATGTGTAAAGTAGCCATTCATTTTTAAAATTACATCTACATTAAAAAATTAATATCTGATAGAGTGCCAGTTGTGTGGGGTAGCGGGTAAGAGAGAGCACAGCAGCAATGAATAAAGCTAACACGTCATCTTAAAGCAGACTAGAAACATGAGCCTTCACAAATATAACACAATTGTGTCTTATAAAAATTATCATAATACTCTTTATACTTGATACAATTATATCAATAATATAGATTAACTTGTTATTAAGGTTTATTATAAACATGCAAAATCCATTGCATGATGCACTCGCAAAACATTAAAATCCTTCTAGCAAGAAAACATTTTGAGTGGATATAAGCAGAAAGTATCTTGATCCTATAACTGCAGGTGTGTCATTCGATAGGAACTGGAAACGGGAACCCAAGCTATATTGTTTTCCATCTCTAAGTGGATGTTATGGCTGGAGAAAGGAGGAAAATCAATTAACAGAGACTGATGCTAGTCAACACTTTGATTAAATTACTATACATTGTACTTTCATAAATGACACTGCAGCTTATTAAATAAATAGTACAAAAAAGGATGGGGCATACACACCAGCTTCTTAGGAAGGGTACCCACAAAGGTAGTAAAATATTATCATGTGTGTGGGGTTGGCTAACAACACTCGTGAATAGTGGCATGGTTCTGATGGCACCCTGGATTGAAGAATCATCTCCCAGAGATTAAAATGAACATACACATGGTTTATCCTTGATCTGAAATGATTTCACATGCTTGCTTAGCAATGTCCTTAGATGATTTGGCCTCTTAAAAAGAATGAGTTATCAAGATAGCTTTCAACCAAGTAGGGTAACACAGATGATAGATTCAATGAAAATTCGTCTGAAGCTTTCTTTCATTCTTAAGCTGCTGTACTATGGTTGTGCTATGACATTTGGGAACAGTGATTAGATTCATCCTGCCCTCTCAGATTCTAGGGACTGTTTCCACTGAGGCATAGAAGTGATGGGGTCTTCAAGATTCTACTACCACCAACCTCTCTTTGCTTACTCTTTGGGCTTCCTGTTCTTTCATTCCAAAGACATCTTGGGTGGAGATGTTTCCAGCCCTTGAGCTGGAGTAGGTTCACTTTACTATTTGGTGGAGGGATCCTGATGATGAAAATCCAAAGATGGAGGGTATGGAGAATATATCAAATAGTACCAAAAAGGGGGAGGGATACAAATTGCTTTGTTTTCTAGGAAAAATTAACTTAGAGCCAGATGTGATTCTACATAATTAAGCTGGACTCTGTACATTATGTCATCATCCACTAAAATAATGTTCTTGGTTGTAAAAGAGAAGGGAGGGAGGGAGGGAGACCCTGAAAAGTTGATCACTTATGGGCTAATGTCCTAAGAATTGTCAGGCCTCTGTGTGGAACAAAATATAAGGCCATAGCCTTAAATTTTAGGGTCAAGGGTCATTTCCCACTGCATGGGGAGGCTGGGGGCTGGGGAGGCATTTGATCTCTCATTTGTGGATTTCATACTGCACTTTGCAAGATCGGATGCACAAACTGGGGGTTGACATACGAGAACCCTTCAAAATCAGACTGGTCTATGTTAGCGATAACCAGCTGATCTGGCGGTGTTAAGACAGGCTGCCCTCGTGTGAAGAACTTGTCAAAGTTTTCTGCTCCTTTGCCGCACTGTGGGGAAAAAAAGAAAAGAAGGTCAGAAGATACAAAACACAGGGGTAGTATTCTGAGAGCATTTGGAGGGAAAGGGTGTGCCCAGAGAAATTGGGCCTGGCTGGACAGGAAGATTCTTGGAGGACTTGCAGGCCTACTGGAGACAGAAGCCAGGCACAGCAAACAACTGTAAATCTTCACATATTCTTAGAATCAAAACTCCAAATGGAAACTCACTGTTGGTTACAACATAGCAAGAAGACAGCCTCTCTTAACTTCAATATTACCTTGAATAGCAAGCGGAGCTATTAGCATGAATGGTGCACACACAGGGCTATCGGTCATAGCTCCATGTTGAAAAGGCCATGATGTTGGTTGTGCCTGTAAGTACTCTTAAATTGACAGGGTGAGGTTATTGTTCCACATCTGTTTCTTTGTAATAACATTTATCATCAGACAGAAGCTGCATATCTTTGCCATGTAACTGGGATGTTTTAGAAACTCCAGCCCTCAGAGTCATCTTAAAGCAGTATGAGGCAGGTACAGTAACAACGGTAGGAGATGAGTTCTTACTCCCAGAAAGAATTCTGCACACCTGGATAGAACTAGTCAAGCGGCAGGCAGGTCAACGTGGAGCTCATTCCCAGCATGGACTCAAGGCAGGAGGAGGTAGGCACTTTACTGGGGAGGCACAGTAAAGTCTGTGATCTGTCTTGAATCAGCATCCTCCTTCAGGATCTACCAAGGCATTCTTTGCAAATGGAGGCTTCTGGCATAGCTCCCCTGTGATTGTCTAGCTATACAGTTGCTTAAGCAGAAGTGCATGAGAGTCTTACTCAGAGTCAATTATACAACTTAGCGTGTTATATAAGATGCATTGCATGATGCACTTGCAAAACACTCCTTCTAGGAAGGTAGGGAAGGGACATCCTCACTTTTCCAGATATCTAGAAAGGTTAAGGCATGCCAACGTCTCTGGGGCTTCCATGAGAGTTGGGAGTGTCACCGATGCTACTAATGATGATTCTGAACCTGCTGCAAACCATTGCTCTTTTATCTGAGGTAGCACAGCTGGAGCAATATGAACTTATTTTGAGTCGGCAAATGCTTTGACCTAATGAGGCATTCTTGGATCTAGCAGAGGGCAGTAATAAGTAGTATGTGAGGTGGAATCCACCAAATTCTCTCATTTGTAGAATGGAGAGAGGAGGTGAATCTCCCCGCTCATGCTGTTAAAAAGGTTTGCAGTCAAGTTCCACACAGAACCTAGTACTTGGTCAGAGTTCAACACACATTATTACTATTATTATTATCTATTAAGGCAAGATCTGTTAGCCTCATGAGCTGTGTTTTCTCATCTCTTCCAAATGGGTTTTCTCAGAGAATTTCATAATTTTCCTACTTTCTTTTCTGAAAATAAAACATGCTTCTCAGTGTCTAGGGAGGTAGAAATCATATCCTCAGGTCATAGCAAGGTCTTCAGAAGCAATAGTGCCCCTTTCCAGTATTATTTTCACCTAATAAGCAGTTATGTACTCTGAAATCAAGGCCATTTCCCTCGGCAGTGATGGGGGTGGCAGTGTGTGAGGTGCATGTATGGTAAGGGCCCAGTTCTGTAGAGTGGTGTTGCATGGGGTGGGGAGGTTCTCAAGTCACTCTGTGGAGTCCATGCAGGCAACGAATCTCACTCATTATCAGTCTGGCTCCCATATATGGAGCAACAAGGTTTTGGCTTTCAAACTGTATATTCGCAGGATGCTTTTCTTTGCAAGAACCCAAAGCACTTCAAAGCAAAGGTCAGCAGAGGCAGAGCCTGCAATCACATCACCCCACATGCAGAGGATATCCTGAACCACTGAGAAGGGCTCTTCTGGAAGCAGGTAAGGAAGCACTGTTTCTTCTCGGGAACTGATCTTGGTCTGCACTTGGTCCATAAATCGGATAAATAATGGAAACCAGCTTCCACTTAAGTGCTACATTCAACTCTATTGCAATACGTAAACAGCTAAAGAAACAATTATCTTTTTGATAAGACTTGGTTTTCAATAAGGTTCAGAGTCTTCCTCCAGGGAATCCATTTTTTTAATTGTCATAACTTGGACAAGGGGTGCCATTGTCATCTAGTGGCAGAAATGGACACTGATCAATGCCCTAAAATGAAGAACTTCCCCTCACCCCCCACAGACTTATTGGCTTAAAATGTCAACAGTGCAGCTGTTATGAAACACTGGTCTCCATATATCTAGACTGTAATGAGAGGTCCTGTGGTGGGTGTAAAGGGGCCAAACAAGGAAATTAGGCAGAAGCAGCTATGTGGGAGCAAAACATGCAAAAGTTGCAGAAGCCCAAAGAATAGGTGATGTAAGCAAGAGGTACCACCCCATGGGGGCTGGCTTTGAGGAACACCCCCTTTTGGAATCTGGTGGATGGGCACCCACTGCCTGGAAAGACTCAAGTGTGTTTACTGTTGATGCTTTCAGAGGGTGGGCAAGAGCACCCACAAGAAAGGTAGGCAAGAGTGCCCACAAGAAGATATCATTTGTGCTTTTTCTGATACTGACCATGCAAAGAGCAAGGAGGAGGTTCTGAGAAAAGAGATTATGAGTTCCTACAAGGCAGAACAAGACTAGCCAAGGAAAATGTTCTCTTTGCCTGCCTGTCTAGCATTACATTTATGAATGTGGTCTCTGAAAAGCTTGTATGAGTGTGGTCCTTTATTTGAACACTGTTTTTATGATGCTTACAAATTAGTTTCAAATTTCTTAGTGCCACAGCTTTATTGCCAAAGGATGGGGAAAAAACAAACAAAAACTGAAAGGAGAATTCTCAAAATGTGCAAAGGGGACCCACACAAGCATCAACACTGAAAGACAGGGAGGAAGAAGATGTCCAGTTCTATAGCCAGTGTTCCAAGGAAGGTTATGGCTATGGCATCTAGGGCTTGTTAAAACAAGTATTGTAATAAGTGGGATAGAAACACTCTTTTAGTGAAGCCTCGTGCCATCTGTACTGAAGACTGTGGAGCTAAAGGGACAGCCTGGAGCCCCAGTCAATCCAATCACTGCTCTGTGATCACACTGAATGGCCAAATGACTGGTTGTCTCAAAATTGCTCACTGCCAGAGACACCTTCCTCTTCTCTCACCTTAACTCTCCTTGGAATTTTCCCTGACTCAAATAAGACAGGGAGAGAAATCACATTTTAGCAAATGAAGGCTTTTCTTCAACTGGCTCAGTTTAGGTGGAGAGACCAGAGGCAAGGGCAGGCTGAGGACAGAGACTAAAAATTGAATCCCCCAGGCTCAGACACATCAGCCATGAAACAGACAAAACAAAACAACACAAACAAACAAAAAACACCCAAGACAAACACAGTGAGGGGCCTGAGTGTATCTCAGCAAGAAACAGGGAGAGATAATAGCCTTTGAAAAACTGGGGGTTGAATCTGAGGATGAGATGAGACTCAAGAGTTGGAGGATATTTTATTCTGAAGGTGGTCATACCACAGTGAATGTCACCCCAAAAGGGGACTGGGGGACAGCATGAGGACTTTTATCACCAACCTGATACTGTGAAAAATATAAATTAGTCTTACACCAGGGCAACTTTCTCTCTCTCTCAAAAAAAAAAAAAAAAAAAGAGCTGTCCACACTTCTAAACAAAACCAGGTCAAGAAATGGGTGATCTCTTTTGTGAAAACTAGAGAAGACCATGAACTGCCTGTTTTTAACAATGTTATGCAGAGATCTTAAACACCACCAGCAAATACAGACAAGAATTGGAACAACCAGAGCTCCTTGGATGTTTGGGCAGGAGATGATACATTTGAGAATCTATCTCCAGGTTCTTGTGATCCAACCTTGAGATCATCAGCTTGATAAGAGAGAGCTTCAGGTGCCACCTTGAGCTGAGCAGGGAGTAAGAGACAAACGGGGACACCTAGTGAGGTCTGTGAATAAGCAAGTGAATGAGTGGTGGAAGGAGCTAGCTTCACTGCAGATGCTCTCCCCATATTCATCGGGGGTGAAGCCGAAACATTATTACCTTGGCCATTTGAAGGGCAGCCTCCATAGTAGCTATAACAACAGGCAAGTTTGGGTTATTTGTGACCTCTGACTTCTAGTCCACTAGACCTTCACAGCGGCTCAATCAGCTTACAAACGATGCCTCTGTAGTGAATAAACATGGTATGCACTTCCAAAGGTCATTGACCGCTTTCACTAGTGGAAACCTTTGCCAGCAAGGTGGCATGGGACAAACTCAAAAGAGAAACGGTCAGCAAGAAGCAGTCCAGACCTGACTGGGCTGATGTGTGAACCCAGGGAGGTCCCCTGGTCTCCTTGAGAAGAGTTGTGCAGTGCTGACACTTGGGGAGAGACAACAGAGTGAAGGACCAGACCAGAGATCAAGACACAGGTGCATAACTTTAGGACTCTCATTGCCTCTCCCTTTAAAGGAAAAATGGGAAGTGACCACCCAAAGCTGTGGACTTAGCATATGTGAGGCCTTTCTAACTGATGAGACATTATACAGAGGGACGATACAAACATGTAGCAATAGCCCTGCATGCACATTGATGATATTTGAAGAATGAATGAATGCTATTCACAATCTGCCTTCTCTTTTATCTCTTTATCAAGGAATTAACATCTTTGTCATTTTTGATATCTCTGCCCATGATGATTAGTTTTAATCATTAACTAGACCCAGTCTAGAACCACCTTGGAAGGCAGTCTCAATGAGGGATTGTCCAGATCAGGCTGACCTGTGGACAAGTCTGTGAGGGATTGTCTTGATTACACTGAGGAAGCCCTGCCTACTGAGGGTGACTCCATTCCCTACGCCAGGGATCCTGAACTATGTAAAGGCGGGAAAAGCAAGCCAAGGACAAACATGCATGTATCCATTCTTTTTCTTCTCTATGCCATGGCTATGACCAGCTAGTTTGAATTTTTGTCACCTTGATTTGCCAAAAACAATGAGCTAAAATGAGCCCTTTCTCTCCTAAGTTGCTTTTGT